CGAAGACCGAATGAATAGAAGGAATAATAGAATGAGTGATGCAAAAGATTGCCAGCCTGGGAAATTGAAAATAAAAACTATGAGGCGAACCCAGTAAAAATAAAATAAAAAATAAGGTAATATAAAAGAAGCTCAAATAAAGTAAATACAAGCTGAGAAACAGTAAAAGTGAGATGAAAGAGTTTAACAAGATGGGGAAGGAAGACAAAGTAGAGGTGGGCAACTAACATGCAACAAAAGCAGAGGTGAAGTAAGCAACACAGAGGGGCTGTTCTGTTTTTTAAAGAAAATCCTGGTGGGGTCAGAGGGATTTCCTGAGTTCAGTCCTGGTGAGGGTGGGTCCCTGGAGCCCAGGGGCAGGCCCAGCCTGGGGTTCTGGCTGCAGGGCTCTAAGCCTGACTCCTTCTAAGATGCTGGCTGGCTCCTCCCGGGCCTGGGCTGAATTGTCCTAGGAATCCTGGGTTGGCTCCACGCTGGGGAGGGGGGAGTTGGGTACAGTACGTGTCTAGTCGGGGGCTCTCCAGGAGGAAATGATTGGGGAGGGGGCACTCCTGCAGGGGCTGTGCCAGGGCAGCAGTCCCCTGGGAGGGTCAGGACTCCAGCCGGCCCTTCCTTAGTCCAGTTATTGGTGGAGTGAAAGGAAGGTGAGAGAGAAAGGAGAGGTCTGCAACTCATTTAAAAAAAACTTTCTTGATATTTTGTAACTTTAAAATAATGTCCATATTCTTTACTATGGCCAGTGAGGTCCTGGGTGTCAGAGCTTTTGCTATTTCTCCAATCTCATCGTATTCACCTCTCACCCTCATATCTGCTGCTATCACTTGGATGGGTAATGGCATCTCATACATAACACACCCAACCAGAACGCTCCATTTGCTCCCAATGTTCCTTCCCCACCTCAGTAAACAGCGCCACCACTCGTCCCATTGTTCACACTGACATGTCTTCATTCTCTGGACCAAGCCCAGCAGCAGGTCCTGCCAGCTCCTTGGAAGTGTGCAATGACAAAGCTTTAAGTTGTAGTGGTTGTGGCTTCCAGTGGCCCACCGCGGCCTCTCCCTGCCTCAACAGTTCACCTGCAGCTCTGGCAGCAAGCTCCTGGCCTCCAGGTGTTCCAGCTGAGATTCCCGGTGGGCCCAGTGCATTTTTTGCACCCCTTTCAGTTTCCTTGTGGAGAATCACTCTGAAGATCTCTTTAGAAAAAGCAATAATTTGTGTTGGCTGAACTCTGTGCAAAAGAAGGATTTATTGACTGAGTTTCCATTTCCGTGGGTACACCGTTGTGTAGTGAGGAGCAAAACCAGTAGGACTGAGTCCTGGGTCTGCCAGCAACTCACCTGCTGCCTTGGGCCAGCCCCTTCTTTCTCTGAGCCTCAGGCGTCCCCTCTGTGAAATGGGTATGCATCATGTGACACAGAGCTTGTGAATCTGGCTTTCCTAGCCAGGATGTTACAGTAGGGGTGAATTTGTTCATTGGGTAGAGCTACTTACCCAGAAGCTTGATTTTGGCAGGCAGCTTTTACAGTCCCAGAGGTTATCAGGGCTTAAAGGGACTAGGCTGGCCAGGATCAATAAGTAATTAGGGGCTTGATGAGCCTGATAGAGCCCCAATAAAGTCTCTGAATCTAGCAATCCTGACTTCAGTTTGCAGAGAGGATTCAAATTGTCTTGCTTGAGATGGGTGTGCAGAGGGCCCAGCGATCGCTGGCCTGCCTCCCAGCTCCAGGGGAAAGGGGCCGATGCAGAGGGCCCTCGTGGCCAGGCGAGGGGTGCCCAGGGCGTTCCCGTCTGGCAGAGGACACTGGCCTGGCCTGGGAGCAGAGATGAGCATCTGGGGATGGCAAAGGACCCCACGCTGTGGGAAATGGAGGGGAGGGGGTACCCAGGACAGGAGGTGAGGCTGCCCAGGCCAACAGCTTCCAGGGGATTCCAACCTGAGTCCTAGCCTCAGGTCCCAACCAGAGGGACCTCATCATCCAAACCAGAAACGGCCAGAAGTCTTCCCAAAACTGCGTGTGTTGGTGGGTTGCCTACTTAATATTTGGAAGGGTCTGAGGCTTGTCTCGCTGCAATCATGCTTCCCCCACCTGGCATAACATACATCAAGAGAAACTTCTACCTGGGTGAGAAGTGTCACACGCCGACCCTGCTAACACCTGCAGGGGCTCACACAGCAAGTGGGGGGCCCTTGACACTGTGGCTCTTGACCTCAGGATTGAGCCCCCGACCACACCCACCACCCTCCCAAAGTGGAAACAGTCACCACAGGAACCAAACTGTTATATAATAAACCCCCGATTTCCCTGCTCCCTACAACCAGCGAATGGTGGGACTGTGAGGGAATGAGCATGGAGGCTTGTGGGTTGGAGAGGCGGGGGGCATGTTGCACAGTTCAGGGCCCCTAAGGCAGGTTTCTTGAGGAAGTGCTTTTGTGGGGGTGCCCCCCTCAGCCTGGTAGCCTAGCCTCCCGCAGGCACAGGCATTCCTCTCCTCACCCACCAGCCTCCACATCCCGGAGCTCACGTTGCCTGCCATGTGGCTCCTTGCCGGTTCTCCCAGCCAGCTTCTCTTCACCAGGCTGCCCCTGCCCAGCAAGTCAGCCCATCAGCCCACTGCAGAGGCGGCCGCACTGCTCTCCGAGCCTGCTCCCACCTGCACAGGCTCCTCCCCACCTTTCCAAAGTAAAATTTGCTCACAGCTTGGGGGACACACACACACACACACACACACACACACCCTTTTCTTCCTGCCTTGGCTGGCTAATTAGCGTTCGATGCCTGGAAGCCTCCCTTCCTCTCCCAGGGTAGCTCCCACTCAACCTTTAGAATGTCACCTTCTCCAGGAAGCCCTCCCAGACTCTCCTTCCCAGGCGGTCTCAGAGCCCAGGATGCTTGTGCATACGCAGCTCATTCGAGGTCCTTGCCCATCTTTTAATGTTCTGTTTTTTTTGTGTTCGCCTTTCCCACTGCGCGGGGAGTTCCAGGTAAGGGGTGTTGCACGCATGGCTTGGAGCAGGGCAGGGGCCAAGGGGCTCCAGGGCTCGCGGGAGCGGCGGCTTGCAGGAGGCTCTGCCTGGGGC